CAGAAACGTGAATTTCTTACATTTGCTGTCACCATAGAAGTGCCTCCAAAAAGAAGGGAAACATACGTTTAAAACACGTGTCCCCGGTGAACCCTGCCTTGATTTTATATGTAATTGTACGTGCAATTAATATCCTTGCGGGAATCCCATTAGGTTTTTGTGTCAAAAAGAGGACTTCGTCACGCGCGAGTGGGCGCAGAAACTCATTTCAATATAGATAAAAAACAAACAAAAAAACAGACGACCTTCTCTCTCGGCGCATTGACCTCCTTCCATCGCTTCGAAGTACCCAGTCGTTAATAAAAGCTACCAGTGCAACAACCTCGGTTCCTCATTACTTCATCTTCCTAGTTGTCTTATCTCTTCGCTCCATTACATCAATCAGTCTAACGTGACCTCTTGGGAACAGCATGTAAAGACGCAGCATCCTGATCTGTATATGATCCCTCCCTCCGCCCACGCCCACACACCCACAGGAAATCAGCAATATAACCCGACGTTCTTATGTTTTCTTTCGCTCGAGATCGCGCACCCTGGAGACGCCGCGCTCGCTCTCCCATTAATCGAAATGATTTCTTCCGCCGCGCTCCTCGTCCGCGGACGGCGTTCCCAACCGAGACGGGATTTCACGGCAGAATTTCTTTCGGTTACAGCGTTGACACTCGGGGTTCGTATTTTGATGAATACGTCAGTATATATATATAAGGAGTTGTGAAGCGGTTCGCTGGTGTTTTGACATCAATACTAGATGATGATAAGGGAAACAAATACGTGACATCAAGGTGATCAGGGGGTGTTTATGGCGTTACGTCAAACTTGGGTTTGACGTAAAACTGTGTTATTCGCCCCAGTATATATGCAATGGTTGAAAGCAGCAATATAGTGCAGGAGAAGGTTGCATTATGATTGGAAGGTGAATGAAAAGGAATCTGAACCGAACGTAGATATTAGATATTTATTTTTTTTCCAGAAATCTTTCTAGATTTTGTTGCCTACAAACATCCAAGATTTGACATTAAACATCATCCGTTCAAAATGTTTCAATATACTTTTTTAAGTATAACTTCTCATAGAACACATTTTATTTGTTATTTTTACTCGGAAGATATATTTATAATATTCGAAAATTAAAGGTATGACAAGATAAATGTGTATGGGTTTAATACTATTTGGAAACAGGACGATAGATGTCAATTTCTTATTGTAGTGTTCAATATCTGTAGCAACCTGATTTTTCCCCCAGTTATCTTTATCTACAGCAGAAAACGTTAACTTTTCCACATTAGGTCAAACCAGAATAGATACATTAACTATGGATATACGCTGACCAAGCACGGAGACCTGGAGTCCCAAGTGATAACTCCTCTAAATTAATTTCATGCAAGATGTTACAGAACTTCCGATGGGGATTACAGAGCGCAGCCATCTTCCATTCTCCGAGCCTGGGGGATGCTGGCAGCCGACGATGATATATGACTAATTTTTTATCGATAATATCATTACTGCCAGGTGGAATGATGTCAGAGATGCAGCTGTTTCCCCGCTTAGTTGAAGCTCTGCTAATAACCTAACCAAGTAAAGCCATACACCAATTGAAGGATAAAGAATCGAGTGCTGATCGATCACGGCAAAATCCTCGAAGTTGGAGGGAGAGCGGCGAGGAGGAGCAGGAGTGCCCCCGGCGGTTATTTCAACACCTTTAAGTCAAGGGCTCTTATTCAGCGCCGGGGAGTTTAATGATATTCACAGCGGAGCTCGCCTCGATTGCGCTCAATCTGCGGTGTGCATATCGTCAGGGGATTAAATCTTGGGAAGCATGCACCGCGGTGGAATGCTCAGGGGGTATCTTATATGATCAATAGCCTTTCTTTATATAAAACGTATTTTTAAGTTTATTTTATTGGACACTGACTAGACACTATTGTATGGAATTCGGCTTGCAAGCACTGAAACAATAATCTTTATAACCATAAATAGTATTATTACATACAGAAGGATGTCTTATATTATTTTAGTTTCTCTTACGCACTATCTGTATCATAGAATATTCGACTAAATGCATTATGTACTAGAACCACTGCAGACGAACATGTTACAAATAACACTTATTGGAAGAATTAGCATAAGAATTTTACATGTTATTCGTAAATTGTGATGTTTATAGATTTAACTTTCGGACACAGGACTCGGTATCCTAGACAGCGATCATAAAGCATAGCAATGGCGTGCCTTGCCTCTGACACGCCAAGTGCTCACAGCTGGGAAAGGATCTGGGGCCGGATTTACTAAACTCTCTCGTAAACGCTGTCTCTCGTAGCAGTTACGAGAACTATCAACGATTTCTCAACTAGCGACTTTACGACCTATTTTCAAACGCCAAACCATGAGAGCGCAGGGGTTTCGTAACCTTAACGACCGTATTTTCTATCGCTAGGTGTCGTAGGGCTTTATTTCCTAAAAGAACGGATGGATCGGCCAATCAGCGTTAGCTCGGAAAAAATTGACCAATCATAGAGCGTTACCCGCTGAACTGAGGCAACACCAATGAATTTTACTTAAAACAATTTCTATATCACCACCTGGTGAATCATCACCTTTTATTGATCATTACCACCTTTATAAATAGTCTTATAAATTCTGATACTTTATATATATATATATATATATATATATATATATATATATATATATATATATATATATATATAGCTAAGGCTATACCTCTCTCTCTCTCTCTCTCTCTCTCTCTCTCTCTCTCTCTCTCTCTCTCTCTCTCTCTCTCTCTATATATATATTATATATATATATATATATATATATATATTCATTCATAAACATACATTTGTATGTATATATATGTATGTATATACATTATACATACAAACATTCACATATATACATATATCTATTAATCTATATATGCATATATATTATATATATACATATATATACATACATATATATATATATAATATGCATAATATATATATATATATATATATATATATATATATATGTGTGTGTGTGTGTGTGTGTATGTATGTATGTATGTATGTATGTATATATGCACACACACACACACACACA